GATGTGAGTGAATGCAGGGCTTGCCTAGTGGGAGAAATAATCCAAGCAAAGACCATTCTGGACACGAGACTGAGTCTGGATAAAGAGGAAGAGAGACAGACATTGCCTTGGGGCAGAGATTTGGGCACAACAACAAGGCCCTGAATGCTAGGGCAAAGCATTTGTTTTGTTTTTCCAGTGGGCAGTGGGGAGAGAAATGTAAAGGGTTTTGGATGTAAGAGAAGGTAGCTAATGTCAACTAGTAACAATCATTGGCATTTATTAAGCACTTACTGTGTACCACACACCACTCTGTAACTTATTTATCCTCAGCCCAGTGAAGTGGGTGTTATTATTATTGTTGTTGTCTCCATTATTCCCATTGTTCAGATGAGAGAAAGTGAGGCACAGGGAAGGTAAAGAAATTGCCCAATATCTCACAGTTAAAAATAGTGTTGGGCACATAGTATGCACTCAATAAGAGTTTGTTGAATGCATTCTTGTCTTCCCTGAGCTTTTCCCCTCCATTCCCTCCCTAATGCTTCAGGCGCACTATTACCATCGTGGAAGGTCAAGGTGAGAAGAATGTGACCTTCTCGGGGAAACCATTGGCAAAGTGCGAGTTGCTACAGGGGCAGAGGTTGGTGGTGGAGGAGAAGCGGCCATGTCTACACGCACCTGCCTGCGAAGACCCTGAGGATGAGGAGCTCTAACACCTCTCTTCCATTCTGACCCTCTGGCTTCCCAGACCTCAATAAACCAGCCTCTTCCTCAAGAATGGGGCAATAGCATCTTCTAGGGCACAGCATGTCACAGTGACCTGTTGTGGAAAACTGTATTTTCCACTGTGGCCAGTTTGGCAGGAATTAAGGCAAGTATCCATCCATTAACCGCTGCTGAAGCCCCAGTGTCTGCCCCCCACACCTGCCCCCCAGTGCCTGGGGTCACCCAGCATGTCCTTCTGCAGAGCTCCATGTTATGGGTTTCCTGTTTGGCTGCTCGCCCTGCCAGGCACTTTCTGATTGGCTGGTGTGCTTGTTATCCATCTCCCCACCTCCTAAAGCTCTCTAGGTTCCCACCCACCAGAGCCTCTGGGCTGGCAAATTCCACATCAATCCCGGGTAAACAGCAGCAGGCAGCAGAGGCAGGGGTAAACAGCAGCAGGCAGCAGAGGCAGGGCTGGGGTGGCGCCCCGCTGCACCAGCACCTGCACCCACCCACTCCCAACAGCCCAGCTCCAAGGCTACAATTAGCGGCAACAAATAGCTCTGGAGGAGGGGGGAGGAAGTGCCTATGAGGTGCTCTAAGCTGGAGCGGGGGCAAAGAGAAGCTAGAGTCAGCATCTGCCAAGAGGAGCCCAAACGCAGACACATATTCCTGTTAGCATTTGTTCGTTCCTTCAACACTTATTAGTGTCTACTGTATACTAGAATTAAGTCCGGGCATCTAGGGTGGAGGAGGGCTGGTAGAAGGAGAGGACATCTGAACAAGGGAACAGACTCAGAGTAAGTGACCCTTTCCTTTGAACATTTATTCAACACCTACTGTATACTAACAATAGTCCTGGATACCATTGGGTATAGGAAAGAAGGGGAGTTGGAGTGGTACCTGTCTCCACAGTGAAGGGAACAAACCCAGACATTAATACCCTTAGCACTTGCTCATTGACTTAACACTTATGAATGCTGGGGCCCCTTGTAATGAGACAAGCATAAGAATCATCATAATTATGGTAATAGCTAATACTTAGAGAGCACTTGCTCTATGCCTGGTAGTATTTTAAGCCTCCATAACATGCATTCACTTAATCTACAATGAAACTGTGAGTGTCAGTATTATTATCCCCATTTACCAAGGAGGAAAAAGACATGAAAGGTAGTGGGCTGAACATTTCTGAAGCACCATGTCAGGAGCAGAGTTTAGGACTCAGTGCTGTGAGTGGAGGGGCACCTCTGTGAGGGAGGGTTCAGATGGAAGATTTGTGACACCCAGAGTATGTCAGAATACTCAGTTCTCTGGGTTGACTTCCTCTTGTGTAAAATGGACCAGTTGATGGGTTGGGATGAAGACAAAGTTGATAAATAATCATCTTGGGAGGAACAAGCCAAAATGAGGGGTTCTGGTTGCTAATACAGAGTGTGAGAGAGGTGTGTGTTTGCAAGAAAGTGTAAGTTTGTGTGTGTGTAGTGTGAGGCACATATCTTTGTGTATGTGTGATATGCAGACCTATGGGTCTGTGCAAAAATTAAGGATGTGTCGAGTGGATGTGCAGTGAATGTGAAGTTACAACCGTGCGCGCACCATAACAATGTAAGTTATAGAGGTGTGTATGTGCACGCATGCACATGGGGGCAACATGGATATGTGTGTGTGAGTTATAAACAGAGGTACACACAACAACAAAAAAGCATTCTTGGAGCCACTTCTTTTCAATTCCTGCTGGAGAAGATGGAGGCAGTACAGAAGAGCCTTACCTCTGTCTCAAGGAGTTGAGATACTCCTGGGGGGAATCTTCATTCTTCTGTAAAACAATCTATAAAAAAATTAATTTCTGGAAATTGAACCACCTGGAGAAAGAGAATGATGCTGGGGTCCACAAGTACTAGGAACCTAGAAATGGGGCCCCTGGGAAGAGGCAATCTGGTGGCAGATTCCCAAGGAGCCAGAAAGGTCTGTAGACCTGCAGCTGCTCCTTTTCCCCAGAGAGGGCACCATATGTCCAGCACAACTTGTTTGCTCCAGTTATTGAGCAAAAAACTGGGGACCACATACTTCGAAATATTAGGAAATACCTGATTCTTGGGTAGCTCCCCAAAGTGGAGAAAATGGATCTGAAATGTCAGAGAAGGCATCCAGGGGAGAGGGGCAAGGAATGGCCAAAGCAGAGGCCTGGAGGTGAGACCAAAGCTGGCTAGAATGGAGGAGGAAGTAGAAGATGGTTTGGAAATATTTGCCTTGACGACTGTGGGAGCCTATTGGAAGAGGAGATGGAATCTGAGTCGTGGGGGAGGGGACTTCCTGAAGACCTTGATCAAAGATGATCTTTGAAGGGGCAGGGGACATTCCTGGCAGAAGTCATAGCACATGCAAAAGTGGAGGTTGTCTCTTCCCCACCCCACCCTTAGAGGTGAGTCAAGATCATTTTTAGTTTGAAGGCAGGCACTCTGATTCCAGACCCCACACCATTACTACGTTGTTTAAACGAGCCAATGAATTAATGAATGAAGAATGGGCACATGGATAAGTAGATGATTCACCTGAAAATCCTGCAGGCAGAGGAGACTCCACATCTGCCTGTTTCTTGCCATATCTTCTACCTACCTCACTTGGTCCACCATCATCACTCACTATGGCCCATCCAGTCCCTGCTAACCTCTCCAACCCCATTTTCTGCCACAATCCCCCTTGATCAATTTGTTGCAGCCACACTGGGACCTCTTTCTGGCACATTCTTAAAAAAAAAATGTATGGATCACATGACCCTTTAGGAATGAATTGGAATTATTGAGTCCCTTCATGTGTAAAATGGAAATGATAATAACCACCCCATAGGATTGTTGTGAGGGTTGGATAAGACTACATGTAAACAGCTCAGTTAAGCATTGGGTACAATCAACAAATTATTCTTTTAAAATGAATTTGTACTTTCATTGTAATCAGGATCTTAATAGGAGCTGACGGACTGGCTTCCACAACCCACCTCTGTCTAGACTATATTAGTAAAGGTCATTTGCTCATGTGGCAAACATTTGGCACCTACTGTGTCCCTACCCTAGTTTGGGTTTGCCTCTGTGGTGCAAAGGGCACTAATTATGCCAGGTGGGTATTGTGGGTTTTGGTTGTGCCCATGGCAAATGATTGGGGGTGTACGGACCCAGTGTGTGTGTAGATGGGGATAGATGGACACATATCAGGGCTAGAGTTCAGGGGATGTGTGTGTGGCTGATCTAGGTTTGTCCATCATTGTCTGTGGGTATGTGTTTTGTCTGGGTGTACATACTTGTGTGAGTTTCCCTTATCCTCTGTGTGTTGGTGGGGTGCCTGTGTGTATGTGTAAGTGTATACGTGTGCATGTATGCCCATATGTGTTATCCTGGGCTTGTGTGTGTGTGTAAATACCTAGATTGATGTGTGTTCTCTCTCTCTATGCCTTTGTGTGTTTCCTTACTTTTGTGTGTGTCTACATGTATTTCCACATGCGTGTCATTCCCTGTGTGCCTCCAGCCTCCCCTCAGGTGTGTACCCCACCCAAGTGTCCACCTCCACCTAATGTTGTCTAGGCCTCCCCCACACCTCTCTGCCTAGCTGAGCCTGTGTGTACCTGGCAAACTGATCTCCCCGCGGGCTACTCCCACCCCTTGCCCTAATGGAGTTAGTTATTTCTCTACGTTTGTGTCTCAGGGTGTGCCTCCATTGCCACCCCCACATGCCTTCTGTGGTGACTATCAACACTGGAAACTGAGTATCTGCGGAGGGTCCTGCGTGTGCGTGCGACTGGGTGTGAAGACCAGAATGAAGTGGGGTAGGGGGCTTGCCTGACCACCCAACTCCGACCCTCCCGACAAGCACCCACCCCACCCCCACTTCCCAAATTGCGCATCCCCAATCGAATGGGGGGGAAGGGAACAGGATGCGGCGTGGCGCGTGCGCACTGCCCCCTTCAGCACCGCGGACAGCGCCTTCGCCCCCGCCTGCTGGCGTGCGCCACCGCCGCCCCAGCACTGAAGGCGCGCTGACGTCACTCGTCATTCCTCCTCAAACTCCCCTTCCCCGTAGCCTTGGTCGCGTCCGTGCTACCGCCGGCCTAGCCGGACTGCACCACGCAGGGCGCGAGATAGGGAGGCACGGGCGCGACCATCCGCGCTGCGGCGGTGGCGACTCAGCGCTGCCTCAGTCTGCAGCGGGCAGCAGAAGAGTCGCGTCGTGCGTGAGAGCGCAGCTGTGCTCCTGGGCCCCGCGCGGTCCACCCCCGCGGCTCCTGACCAGACTGCTGCTAGGACCCCCTGCCCTGCGCCGCAGCCATGAACTACCTGCGGCGCCGGCTGTCCGACAGCAACTTCATGGCCAATCTGCCAAATGGGTACATGACAGACCTGCAGCGCCCGCAGCCGCCCCCACCGCCACCTGCTGCCCCCAGCCCTGCAGCCACGCCCGGTCCCGCGACTGCCACTACCGAGAGGGCCTCCTCGGCCGCCCCCGTGGCCTCTCCCGCCGCCCCTAGCCCTGGATCCTCGGGAGGCGGTGGCTTCTTCTCGTCGCTGTCCAACGCAGTCAAGCAGACGACTCTCGGCCGCGGCCGCCACCTTCAGCGAGCAGGTGGGCGGCGGC